GCTGCATTCATATGCTAATTAGGGCCATTAGTACAGCTGATCGCTCTCCACAAACGTCAGAGTCCGTTTCCGACAATTTGTGGCACTGACAAACGGCGACAAGCGCGGGTTGCAAATTGTCAGAAACTGACGAAAATCAGGGAGATCTGCGGGAGTTTACGGGGACGAAAATCTCACTTTTCATGCAGTGCTTCGTCCGTGTATTGACTATCGCAGCCTAAACGCGATAACCCTAAAGAATAAATACCCTCTCCCGCTCCTCTCCTCCGCCCTCGAGCCTGTCCAGTCTGCCATCTTTACTGAGTTAGATTTACATAGCGCTTACCACTTAGTGTGGATCCGCCAGGGGGATGAGTGGAAGACAGCCTTCAAGACACCCCTTGGTCACTTCGAGTATCACTTCATGCCCTTTGGCCTGTGCAACGCTCCTGCTGTCTTCCAGGCTCTGGTCAATGATGTTCTCCGCGCCTTTCTCAACATCTTCGTCTTCGTGTACATAGATGACATCCTCATTTACTCCCGCACCCTCTCCGAACATAAACATCACGTTCGTCAAGTCCTCCAACGGCTTCTGGAGAACAGGTTGTTTGTCAAGGCGGAGAAATGCGAGTTTCACTAGCACTCAGTCACCTTTCTCGGACTCATCCTGGAGGGGGGGCAGGTCCGATCTGACCCCAAGAAGATTAAGGCTGTGCTCAACTAGCCAGCACCAGAGACCAGGAGGGAGTTACAACGTTTTCTTGGTTTTGCTAACTTTTACCGGCGCTTCATCAGGGGGTACAGTCAGATCGCAGCTCCCCTCCACGCCCTTACTTCTGTCAAGGTCCCCTTCGTTTGGAACCCCGAGGCTAACAGAGCCTTCACCAATCTTAAGAGAAGATTCTCGCAAGCACCCATCCTCATTCACCCCGACCCTGCCAAACAATTCACTGTTGAAAAAGGACGCATCTGACTCTGGGGTAGTGGCGGTGTTGTCCCAGTGCTCAGACCTGGACCAGAAGCTTCATCCCTGCGCCTTCTTCTCTCGGCGTCTAACCCTGGCAGAGCGTAACTATGATGTCGGGGACGGAGAGCTCCTGGCCATTAAGCTCGCCCTGGAAGAGTGGGGCCATTGGCTAGAGGGGTCCGAGCAGCCCGTGTTAATTTGGACCAACCATAAGAATCTGGCCTACCTCCAGTCTGCCAAACGTTTGAACCCTAGACAGGCCCCTGGTCCCTTTTCTTCTCTTGCTTCAACTTAACCATCTCCTACCGCCCTGGCTCAAAGAACCTGAAGCCTGACGCCCTGTCTCGCCTCTATGCTCCCCCCAACTCTGATAAGGAACCAGTTCCTATCCTACCTCCCTCTTGTGTTTTCGGTGCCCGGTACACCCTTACCTCCGGCTACCACCCGCAGAACAACGGTCAGACAGAGCGATTGAACCAGGAGCCGAGATATATATATATATATATATATATATATATATATATATATATATATATATATATATATATATATATATATATCGGCCGAAAATATTGGCCGATTAGGCTATATCTGCCCGAAATGTACATTGTTTCGACAAAATATACATTTGGTAAATCAGTTTCATTTGATTTATGATAAATCAATTTAATTTGGTGTAATTTTATTTAGTTAGAGCAGTGCAAAAGCAAGGTTTTGTGTGCCTACTAGCAGGACCCTACTAGCAAGAACATGTCTTCAGTGTTTCTTTTTTTTTTTGGTTTGCAAAACCTTAAAAGCAAGAATTGCGAGAGGATGAAAAAAGGCTTCAGGTTTTACCACAGCAAACCTAATAGCCTGCCTGAAAATCATCATCTTGGCAAAGCAATATGGAAAGAGCCCCGGCGGCAGCCCCAGGCCCTGGCAGCAGCCAGCGAGGACAAGGCTAGGACAACAATAACACAGAATGCAGTTGTCGCCATGGTTAGCATTTTACTGCATCGGTCTGATACCCAGCCCTAATTGTGACAAAAGGTTGCAAAAACAAACACATCTCCTCTCCCAAACTTTCGATCCTGAAAGCCAGTAGCAGACAGAAAAAACAAAAAAATTTAAATATGTCCATCTTCAACATATTTGAATCTCAGTCTGAGTAGATTACCTGCAACACACGCACGAGCCATTTTTTGTTTGCACAATCAAATTAAGACTCTTTAATATCTTAACAGAACCGTTTTTTTTTTTTTTTAGGCAGCTAAAAACAGTAAATTAAAGTAAAGTAAAGCTTCTACAAATCACACACTGGTTTAATTTGCATGGCTGTTCGTTATAAAATCATCAAATTTACACCTTAGAATTCTAAGTAGTTCAGATTTAGTCAAGTACAGTCTCTAATACAGTGTTTTTCAACCCTGGTCCTCAAGGCACACTGCTCTGCATGTTTTGGATGTTTCTGAGCTTCAGCACACCTGATTTAGGTAACAGGTTTATGAAAGCTGGGAAACATCTAAAACATGCAGGTCAGTGTGCCTTGAGGACCAGGGTTGAAAAACACTGCTCTAATAAATAGGCAGTTCAACATTGTGTCCATTGCCAGAGAAAAAATAATAAACTATGGAAATCTTTTATTTTGTCAAATCCTCAAAGTCTCTTAAATCTTGTGCCTACCTGCTAAGTTGTCTCTCTATTCGACAGTCCCGTTCTCTCCTGGCATCAGTAAGCTTTTGGTTTGTGTTAAGAGCAGTCCACACCTTTGAGCCGCTTACACTGAGGTCCAGAGCTGTATAACCCTCCTTGTTCTTTTGAGATACATCCGCCCCATGAGACAAAAACAACCTGTAGACAATAAAAAAAAGAAAGAATTGAATCAGAGAAAGCTAGCCGCTCTATAAGGAAATCATTAACCATGTAAGGTGAAATTGTTGCAGTGCTAAACTTGCCCTCATTTCTTTTCAGGAACCAAAGTGACCATTTCATACTTCACTTAAACATAAATTTACTACTGAACAAAAATCAGATCATACACTTATCAGCTTATCTAATTAAAAGGAAAATTCTAATAACCTGTTTGTTACTTGTGTATAGATCATCATAGGAGAAGTGCAGAAGCATAAGCTGAAAACTTATCAGTAAACCACTACCTTTGATTTAAGATGTCACAAAAAGATGTTGTCTAAATTGAACCCAGAATATCCTCCACAGCTGGGGTATGAGTTACCCCAGCCGGGGGTAACTCATACCCCTTGTCACAAAGCACTGAAGGTTATCAAGCTGCACTGCAGCTGGAGAGTTCCTTTCTGATTTGGTATTAAATACTGACAGGGTCATCATAGTGGGGGATTTTAACATCCATGCTGACATTGAAAGTGATAGCTTAAGGGCAGCCTTTAATGCTATCTTAGATAGATAACGCTATTGGCTTTGTTCAAAATGTAAAAAGTACCACACATTCTCATCTTCATACTTTTGATCTTGTGTTGACATATGACATAGAATGTGAAGAAATAATAGTATTTCCTCACAACCCTGTCCTCTTTGACCACTTTTTAATAACCTTCAGGATTACTTTAATAGAGTTCTCCTCCCCCCAAAATTTTGTTTACTTTAGCAGATCATTATTAGGTTGTGCAGTTATAAATTTAAAGAATCTGTTTCACTTTCTCCCTCCTCTGTGTCGCTGAGCAGTGCTGCAGAGTGCAACAGCTTAGTTTGTTCCCCTTCACAGGTGAGGACTTTGTTGATGGGGTTGCTAGTTCTCTGCGTACTGCCTTAAGGCCAATTTATGCTTCTGATGCAAAGCCTCTGCAACCGTCAAATCTGTCTCTGTGCACAACCACGCCCCCCGCACAGAGGTTCTGCAACCGTTGTCGCACACCTCAAAAAAATCCTGACTACTCGTTGGACGGTCACAAACCTGCGCGGAGCTCAAGCGAATGTGCGCAGACAAAAAGCATCTGTGATTGTTCTGTGGAATGCCTTTCCGTCTGTCTGTGTGGTCGTCCTTCTCAATTCGGTGCCAGGGCGCAAATTGATAAGATTACTACTGTATAAGCGGACCCTTTGTCATTTTTCCTCATTAATAGAGGAGAATAAGAATAATACTAGATATTTTTTTAATACAGTTGCCAAACTCACCCAGAGCCATAGCTCTGTTGAACCATCCATTCCACCTGCTCTTAGCAGTAATGATTTTAAGGGATTCTTTATAAATAAGATTGATCTTATTAAAAATAAGATCATAAGCACTCCTCTATCTATGATTGGTTTACCTCTAGAAGGTGAGGCAGCATCTGAGGTAGCCATACAATCTGAACCGGGTTTAGACTGCTTTGATCCAGTCTTTTAAAGTCTTTCAAACTAATTACTTCATCTAAGCCTTCAACTTGTATGTTAGATCCAGTTCCAACAAGGTTATTTAAGGAGGTATTCCCTTTGATCCCCACCTCCGTTTTAGATCTGAATAATCTATCCCTGTTCAGGGATATGTACCAAAGGCTTTTAAGTTTGCTGTAATTAAACCTTTGCTTAAAAATCTGTCTCTTGACACAGATGACTTGGTCAATTATAGACCTATGTCCAATCTTCCTTTCTTATCTAAAATTCTTGAAAAATAGTTGCCAAACAACTGCCCGCTTACACCAGGAATCACTTACACCAGGGGTCTTCAACGTTTTCCAGGCCAAGGACCCCCAAACTGATGGCAAGATGAAGCAGGGACCTCTAATTATATATATTGTATGAAATTGTGTTATATCAAACTGGTCCTATAGTCACTCTACTGCATATGGATCTCATGTAATGAAAGTAATTAGCACGGGGATTATTAAAGTATTTCTGATTCAGATTCCTGGTTGATGGGACAGGTGTTGTGAATGAAACGATGCCCAGCTTGAAAGAGCTACTGTGTGTCGCTGAATGTGTGCATTGATGACTGAAAGACATCTGCCTCCATTTGTCTGCTCACTACAGTGTGTTGAATTGATGTTGATTTATAGACATTTCAATTAGTGGAAAAAATTACAGGAGGGAATATAAAAAAGTCTAATCAACATCATCTTTCGCGACCCACATGCAGTACACGCTTGAAGACCGCCGACTTACACCATAATGAACTTTTTGAAAAGTTTCAGTCTGGCTTTAAAGCTCATCAGCACTGCAACAGCTCTGGTGAAAGTTGCTAATGATATTCTCATGGCCTCAGATAATGGACTTATATCTGTACTTGTCCTGTTAGATCTCAGTGCTGCATTTGATACAGTCGATCACAATATTCTTTTAGAAAGACTTGAATATTTTGTTGAAATGAAAGGAGCAGCAGTAGACTTGTTTAAATCTCATCTATCTGATCGATTTCACCTTAAAGAAAAAAATTCCTCATGCTCAAAGGTTACCTTAATAGCTATATGTCTTTAAATCCAGATGAAGCTAACCGATTTAATATATTACAGGCATGTCTTGAAGACATAAAAACCTGGATGACCCTTAACTTTCCGCTTCTGAATGCAGACAAAACGGAAGTTATAGTCTTTGGACCAGAGTCTTTGAAAAACAATCTGATTAGTCAGTCACTTCATTTAGATGGGATTAAACTGATTTCAGATAATAAAGTAAAAAATATCGTTGTTATTTTTGATCAGGACCTGTCACTTATATCACACATCAATTGGATGAACCATCTAAAACCATCCCTTGAGAACAAGAGATTCTCTGGAAAGTTCTGGAACTTCCCCTCGTAGGGGCGGTCAGCTCACGCATGGACCAATCAGCTGATTGAGGAGGCTGATACTTTAACAGGAAATGCCCCTACATCACTCATGGTTTAAAACGCAAGTTAAATCTTTCTCTTCCTCCTGGGTTCCATCGCCTGTAAGGGAAGACCCCATCAGGTGAAATGCTAAAAGAAAGCTAACTGGAAGTAGCTTTCGTTTTCCTGAAGTCATGGATCACAGTGTCCCATCGTGCATAGCGGCTGCACTAACTGGGGGGAGAGAAACCTCCGGAACTGACTGCTGAGTGGAGTCTCCTCTCCCTTGCCAATGAAGCTGGGGTCCACTTCGGCAGGATCTTCAGCAAGAATGGAGATCTGGGCCCAAAAAGACCCAGATCTACAAAAATCATCAAGGATAGGTCAGAACCTTTCAGATTCCAAACTGCTGCAAAACAGACCTTCTGCAACACATTTCTCTTGAGTTTCAGAACTTATAGTGCCAGACTGGATGAGAAAGCCTGCCTTGATGAACCACTGAGATAAAGAGGCCCCCTGCTGTGTGCCACTGAGACTTAGGCCCCGTCCACACGAAGTCAAAACGAACACGAAACGCTGATATTTTCCAAAACGTTTGCCGTAAAGACGGAGACGTAAAATAAATGTGAGCGTCCACACGAATGCATTAAAAAAACGCTGCAAAATGTATGCCAGGCCTGTAAGTGGCGCTGTGGTGCCAAAGCAAAAATAAGCGA